TGTGTGTGTTTGTGTGTGTCTCTCTGGCGCGTGTGCGCGCGGCACCTTTCCCCCTCGCAAAGGTGTGACTGAGCCTTTGTGGCTGCTTTCTCTGTGGAATGCCAATATGTGTTCTGCACGTGTGCTGTGATTACCAGAGTGACAATTTTGGGTGAAGCGAGCGGTGCAACAGTCCCTGAGACTTGATGCGTTTTTGTCACACTTCGCCCCCACGTTAGCCTACAAGAACAGCGCCTCTTATCCTATTGGAAGTGTTTTCTACCTTGTTCTTTTCCTTCTCCCCTCGTTGCCTATATTCAACGACTTGTAGATATTGGTACTGTTACTGCACAACAGGCTATGGATTGGGGATTTAGTGGTGTAATGTTAAGGGTTCAGGGGGTTCCTGGGATTTGCGAAAAGCAGCACCCTACGATGTTTATGACAAAGTAGAATTTGATGTACCGTAGGTACACGAGGAGATTGTTATGATCGTTATTGTGTCCGCATTGAAGAAATGCGACAAAGTCTTCGAATCATTGTCCAATGCTTGAATCAAATGCCTAGTGGAGCAGACGTTGTTACCTGCCCTAGAGTGGTCAATCTGCTTTTTTCCTAGCATCACTGCATTTCGAAGCAGATCATGAATCTATGACAAGGATTCCCTTCTTCTCATATGAACACTTGAATCAGCAGTAGAATACACACTAATTCCATATGGATAAACAGTAAAGTGTGTTGGAGGCCATCCGTTGAGAAGTTAGGCTGTTTCAGGTATTTAAAAGTGTGTCATTGTTTGATGTGTGTGGGTTGTGTGCTGAGTGTGCAGGAACAAGTTGAAGCTGTCGAGAGCAGAGCTAGTGGGATGGCATCCAAGCTTGAAGAGGTGATTGCTGCTAAGGAGGAACTTGCTCTGAAATTTCAAGAAGACCAAGCAACTTCAGAATCATTGCGACAAGCTCTAGAAAGGTCAGTGTGATCCCAGGCAGTAGGGCCACTGTCTCCTTAAACCACCAAAACTCCCGGGCCTGGAGGCACTGCACAGGCCCTAGCCGCAAAAAAATTGGAGTAGGCGACAAACATTTTTCCACAAGGCTGGGGCCATTTAATGGCGGTTCACGTTGGCCCGTTGGGAGAAGGTAGAAGAGGAAATAGCTGGGTATAGTGGAAAATTCACCTATCAACTCCCTTACATATCAAGGAGCTTTGGCAGAACCAAGCCCATGTCGGGGAATGGTATGCACATGTAACTACAAGGCTTACATCCTTCTTCTACGTCCCGCCCTTCCACTCAGTGGGGTTCTGTGTGCTATGGTATCCCTCCAACCAACCTCTTTATCTCCTCATTTTCCTGATGGACGCAAGTTTGTGCCTGAGATCTGATATAACCTCCTCAGGATAGTCTGTTTTCTCAAGATGATTGTAGAATGGCACTTCTCATCCTCAATGGATCTAGAACCAAGCCCATGTCGGGGAATGGTATGCAGTACTATGCACATGTAACTGTCGATAAACAGGTCACGGGTTCAAGTCCTGTAATCAGATGAATTCAATAATGTTTGGGGCTACCGCCTTACAAAAATAACAGGAACTGTGGCAGAGGCCATGTTCTTGGGTGCTTTACAGTATGACCCCTCTTCCTCCTCTTGGGGACTATCTTAATGCTCTGCTTCCAACCTTACAAGGCTTACATCCTTCAGCGCTCTTTGATCTTCTACGTCCCGCCCTTCCACTCAGGTACAACTACCGGCTTCCCCTGAACACAACACCCTCATCCCGAATGTATACAAGCTATATTTCCAGCCTGGTACTGTCATTACGAGTGTGCCTAGCATTCTGGGGAAGACGGTAGGTCTCAATCCACTCAGTTAAAAATCCTGGTCCATACTGTTCCACACTGCCTTCGTTATTCCAATGTACCATCTTCAGGGCTCTTTGTTCTTCTTGGTTCCCATCCCACTTCAGTGCTTGGGGAAATAGGGTTAACCTATGGGCTGAAAAGTGGGGGTCCCTGTTAACCACTTGTGATCCACTCAGTTAAGACGAGGTCCGAACCCAGTGACTTGAGAAATCTTGTCCATTCTCTTCCACACTCCGCCCGTGTGACTTGAGCAGTGGGGGTGTGTGTGCTATGGTATCGCCCCAACCAACCTCTTCATCTCCTCATTTTCCCGATGGACGCAAGTTTGTGCCTGAGATCTGATGTAACCTCCTCAGGATAGTCTGTTTTCCCAAGATGATTGTAGAACGGCACTTCTCATCCTCAATGGATCTAGAAGACCGATCCTTGTCCCGCTCTCTGGCATGTGGAAGCATAGTGCATTTTCTGGAGTTTCTCGGGTAGAGTATGTTTGGCAAGGACGAGGATGCAGCACTCAAGGTCGTCAGTAGCTGCACCATTGTTCACCATTGTTTCAAAACTGAAACAGTTTTCACCTTTACGGCAGCAGATGCAGATCCCAGGGCTCGATCCCTAAATCTAACCCCAACCCGTGTACAGTATTAGTTGACCTGTGTGTTTTTGAACCCGCGACCTGTGTCTTGAAAGTCGCCTGTCTGCGCGTTGTAGGTGGTGTGGTCAGCGGGTGTCGAACCGTAGATCTGTAGGTTAGAAGTCTTAGCCATGGTAGAGGTTGTAGCTGCTACAGGACCGAAAGGTCAAGGTCGTAGCTGCCACAGTACCGAAGTCCACAGCCTTCCGGAAGGTCCGGAAGTGACCCTTCGTGCAGTCCTAGGCTGAGGTCTGTAGGCAAGTGGGCAAGTGGTTAATCCAACCTCGCCGAGTCAGCGGTACCCAGTCCTAGTCGCACTTTGTCCAGTTAGCAAGTACCATGTGGGACTGTGTGCACCCTGGGCCCGGCGGGAAGGAGCAGACCAACGACCAACCGAAGTATAAATCAAGAGGCACCGTCTAGCCATTCATTCATTCTGCCTGTGAGCCGTGCGGAAGCGCTGCCCGAGCGTCTTGTGCAAGGAGGTATGCAGGTGCCCGAAGGAGAAGTGGGCTGCGAGGGAGACAAAGCGGCCATAGCCGCTAGTAGCTAGGAGGTAGAAGGTGGCCATAGCTGCCATAGGTTAGAGATAAGCAGTAGCGTGCATGTGTGAGCGTGTCATGTGAGTGTGTGTGGGACATCCAGGGAGATCCAGAGTAGTGTGCGTGTGAACAGTTGCGGGAATACAGTGTCGGCTGGGTGTTGTGTGGGCGTACACGTGCCATAGCCATCGGAAGCAAGTTTGAATCTGAACTGTGTTCTTGGGCTCGATATCACTGAGCTTTGTGTGGGGGCCTGGGGCCAGTGTGATTGCCATCTGTGTTCATGCATGCTGAGTAAGGAAGAAGACGAGTCTGGTTGCAAAATACTCCACACATTATATAATGCAATCCGACACCTTGTTGTCAGCTTTGGACCCGACTCTGTACACAAAAATGAAAAATGTAATGCACACTCCATGAAAAATATAATGCTCACTTCATGTAGACAAATGAGCCCACCTTGTGCGGCTTTACTCTCATGGAGGACACCATATGTGCCAATACAACAAAAACTGAAGCAGCCTTTCGGCCGCTGCAGCTTCACCCTTCTGCCTCGTCCACTCAGGCAACCCAACCCTTAACACTGATCCCAAACATATCCTGCACCCTTGGCACCAAAAGCGAACTTGCCTTATACCTAACCGTGACCATCAACCCCAAATCCATCTCGTATCTGCCTTTAGGCGAAGATGCCAAGTGTGCCTTTATAAAGGTCTAACTGCCAGGAAATCGTGCAGCTGACCGCAGTGCCGATCCCTGATCTGTTCTGGACTCTACCCCTGGTAACAAGATGCACAAGATCGTCAGCGCGAATTCCAAACCTGTCGGTCAAATCTAAGGCACAATCCGAAAGCCAAACAAAGGGACCCTCAATTCTCTGTATCTACAAAAAAAACTTACCGCAAATGCAACGTTTCAGGCCCATTTTCTCTCTTTTCATCCCTCTATTCCGCCCTTTACTCAACAATAATTGTTGTGAAGACCATCTGACAACCGTCTGACAACGGCAATCATGCCGTGCAGCACCGTACTAAGCGTACTTCTCTCGAACCTTCATCAGCATGTGCCTGTTGACTTGCAGAATTCTTCTGCGCGGCATTCCGAGCACTTTGTCAGAATGTGTGCAACACGCATAGCGGAAAAGTACTTCGATGCTAACAATAATGAAACTACACTGGCTCCATCCCTTGATCCACAGACCTTGCACGAAACGTCGTCCAACTGTAGCGGGATGAGTGGCTGGTAAGTACTACTATGCACCGCTAATCGGAGATTTGTTGCCTGTATGTTTTGTGTGGCCGTATAGATTTCAAGTTAAATTTGGAGTTTCCAGATGAATTTAGAGTCTTTTTCAGACTCCTTTTTGGGAGTTTCAGAAAAACAAAAAGCGATATCCACTTCATGGGAGATTTGTTGCCTTTGTTTTTTGTGTAGCCATGTCGACTTCAACAAGTGAAGTTCAGAGTTTCCAAATGAATTTCAGAGATTTCAGACCATGGCTACGATCCGTACGTTCGGACCGCAGTGCAGACGGTCTGGGTGTCTGGGTCTGGTGTCCGGTCCAGAGTGTCCGTCCGGATTCATCCACCCACCCCCACCCCCCCCCAAAAAAAAAACGACTTGAAAAAAAATAAAAAAATATGAAAAAAGTTCAAAAAACTTTAAAAAAGATATGTTGTACTAACTTATACAGCATTGCAATAGAATAATCTTTTGGCTGAGGACCATCTCGAAATTCATAGCCAAATGAAAGGGGGGAAAATAAGAACTTTTTTTTTAATGAAAAAACTAGGCTACCAGCCGGACCGCCTGGGTCACCCTATTTTCCCGGGCGGCCCGGCCGTGCAAGGGCCAGGGAAGGTCCCAGCCACAAAAAAAAAAAAAAAAAAAAAAAAAAAAAAAAAAAAA